GACTGTTCCTTGTAAGCCAGTGTGATCTGCTCCATCACCAGGACCAGGAAGAAGCCCATGGCCAGGATGAACTCTTGGAGAGGGAACTGGAGCTGTGGGCAGAGGGGACAGCATGGAGATCAGGAGTCAAGCCAAGAAGGGAGAGGAAGAGTCAGATGCAGGGTTTAGTCCCAGTTACACAGACCTGGGGTCTGGCACAGGCACAGAGCCACTCTCAGTTATGCAAAAACACAGAGTCACGTGGTGCCATAGACTGAGAGTGATACATGGCCAGACAGATTATGCTGTCACTCCCAGTGTGACATGGAAACCATGGTTTCTCAGTTTGGGTGCTATTCACATTTTGGATTGGACAGTTCTTTGTTGTAGAGGGCTGCCCTGTGCCCTGTTGGATGTTTAGCAGCATCCTTAGCCTATACTCATTAGATGCTAGTAGCAAGGCAAGCCCTCCCTCCCTGAGTTGGGACAACGAAAAATATTTCATTACTGAATATTTCCTGGGGGGTGGGGGTGGGGGGTGGATTGGAGAGTTGAAAGTCACTGATGTAGAAAAGTGTGACAAGTAGGCCACACCCTGGCCCTCTTTCCCAAGTGCTCACACGCTAAGCCCCATACTGTCACAGGGACAATCAGGCTTACACACAGTCACACAGAGACACAGGTCACTCAGTCACAGACATAAACGGTTACAGTCAGTGTTACTTCCTCAGTTCCTCTAACTGTCTCAGTTTTTCCAATAAGACTGCTCTGTGCCTTGGACATGATCTTCCCCATATCCTTCTTCCTTGGGCTATAGGAACACCAGGGCCCTGGAACCTGACTCCTACCCATCCCAGGCCTGTAGGGACCTCTATCTCCAACCCTTCAGGAAAGTGCTGAGAGGGTAAAGATGATTCTTGGAGTGCTATTATTTTCCTGGAGGCTGGAACTAGAGACACCCACAAAGTAGATCATGCACCTGGTAATAAGGTTCCTCACACTGTCTCAAAGGGTACACAGAGGTCACATAAGGACTGAGGGGGTAAGAACCCACAGCATTGTGCTACTCTGTGACTAAAAATCACAGCTCATGGCGTCACAGGCCAAGAGTCTTCGTACAGTCATAGAGTGACACACGAACAGATCCATACAAACCACCTCTCCTGGAGGTACATGACTGAACACCCACATACACAGGGTCACATGCAGATGACCAGGGCTCACCGTCACGTGCAGGGCCGCCAGGGCCTCATCTATAGCACTCAGGTAGTCAGGCAGCAGGTCCAAGAGACATGTGGCCAGAAAGACACCGCCCGCAAAGCAGCTTACAAGGCTCAGGGCTTTTTGGCGGGAGGCTGGGCAGGAGTGGAACACAGAGAGGAATGGGTAAATGAACCCTCTTTAGGCCCCACTACCCAATCAAAGCAACAGTCACTCTTGCTGACCCCCCATAGGTCCACTTCCTTAACACCAGGGCCTTCCCTAAGCCAAGCATCCATGGAACAGGGGAAAGGAGGGGCTTACCTGAGGCTTCAGGGTTAGCTCCCGGCCGCCGCAACACACAGACGGGCACTAGACTGCAGATGAGAGTGAGAACCAGCAACAGCACCAGGGCCCCCAACTTCACCTCCAGTCCCATGGGCACTGGGGCCTCTGAGGCTGCAGCCTCAGGGCGCCACACCAGGAGCTCTGGCTCTCCCCAGGGCCCCATGGTGGCTGTGGTAGCTCCAATGACTCTCAGACCTAGGAAGACAGAGTGAGTGGGGAAGTGGAAATATTTCACAAGGGAATATGGGATGAAGGGAAAGGGAAGGATGGCCTGAATGCAGCTCCCTCATCCCAGCCACTTTCTGATCTTCCCTATCCCAGTGTGACTCATCCACTCCTGACCTGAGGCTATTCCTCTTTCCCCTATTTGATCCCTTTCAAGTGACTTATTCAGGGACCTAGCAAGGGGGAAACTGAGGTATGGGGGCTGTGTGAATACCTCATTACTCTTTCACATGAGGCGCCCACAAAACTAGGGAGCTGGGCTCCTTTAAGCAAAGTAGATGCCAGCCGCCCTCTCCAGGAAGGAACGGATGAAGCGAAAGGGGTTCAAGAAGAGATGTCAAGGATAGCTTCGTGGACCACCTGAAGAGGGCGAGTTGGGGTGCTTTCCCGCTCCCATTTCCCCAGCGCCATCCCTCTGAAAGCAGAGAGCGACTGTTGCAAGCCACGGGCTGGGATGTCGGGACAGAAGACCAAAGAGGGGTCCTAGGAGTCCTGGGTCCCGGAACGGGCTGACCCAACAACTGAGGGCGGTGTCTGGAAGTCCGGGCTCTGGGAGGCGGGGTCTGAGGCCACCACAGTGCCGGGAAGCTGAAGAAGAATGCGAGAGCTGGGACTCTGGCTCGTAGGCTCGGGGAGGTCTGGGTGGCCGACCCCGATCCCGCTTTCTGGGAGCCAGCACTCACCTCTGGAGGGTCTCACTACAAGGCATCCGCTCGGTTCCGGCCTCGAGTCGGGAATTCCCGCCCCCTCCCCTTCGTTTCCCCCTCCCCCCGCGTCCACCGCGTACGGGCCCCCGGTGGCCAATGACAGCGCCTAGAGGGCGGGGCCAGACTGGGAGTGACGTGAGCTAGGAGCAATCAGAGGTCGGCAGCCAGAGTCCAATGGAGGCGTGGGCGATCTCGGGGAGTGTGGTGCTGCGGGTGAGGGGCCGAGCAAGGGAAAGGAATTCAGAGAGTATCTAGAGTCTGAGAGCCTTGGTCTCTGTGGTGGTCAGACCCGTGGACCTGACTGGTCTACAAAGGCTTCGATCCTTTGAAGATTCTAAAAGAGAAAGCTAGATGCTTCTCCGCGGGCAAAGATGATGCTCCATACCCCACCCCCGCATTCCCAAGTCTTCCACCTCCCACATCTCTGAGGATATCTGCCTGGTCTTGAGCCAAAGTCTTCTTGTCTCTTTTAGAAGATTCCAAGATCCCCTTCTGGGCACCAGGGCGCCAAAGGGAAAGCATTCCATTCCTTAGACTGACTGACTTGCTTGATTTCCCTTGCTAGCACCCACAAGAAAGAAAAAAGGACAAGAATTGAAAGCAGGGGCTAGCAAAGTGAGAGTATTTCTTGAAGTACCTATGGTGGGAGCTGACTTGTGTGCAGCCTTCTGCCTTCAAATGGGTAAAGTGGTGGGACCCCTCTCAGGAGTTGCTGAAACCCCACTTGGTGAGGAGCTTCTCTCCGCACACCCCAGCTTATCCTCACCATGCCTCAGGGCAGCTGGCCAGGATTCTCTCCAATCTCACCTGGATCTCTCTATCTTCTCTCCCTCCAGCTACATCAGCCTCTTTTCTGTTTTCTGTTCCTTGAATGAACCAAGTCATTCAAATCTTGGTTCAGCTACTTACAAAGTATAAATGAAAAACGTTGCTTGCCGTATGAGTAAACAAAGGTTATTGAAGCCATCAAGCCACTACAGCTGCGTGGTGAGCCCAGAGGGAACTCAAAATGGAGAGGAATGGGCTGCCCGGCTGCGAAGCCGAGTCACTGTAGCCACATCCATAAAATAACCCCTGAGAGGACTCAGGATAGGAAAGAACAGGATAGTGGCCCCAGATAGCTAAGGTGCAAATCAAAGTAATAATTTCAATGAGTGCAAACTGTTAATGTCTTTCCATACATAGAAAAGTGCTAAATTCATTAACTTGAGATATCTGGTTTTCTTTAATTAATAGTAATCTTTTGATGTTCTGAATTCCTGGTCTTTGTTGCAAAAACTATGTATCCTGATTCCTCCCTTATCTTTTTGGAGTTGTCCCTCAGAGTTATCTGAGAGACTGCCTCCTGGGCCTGAAGGCCTCAGAAAGACCACCAAATAAAACATAATTCTGAGCTTTTAGATAGTGCAATTTTTTTAGTCAATGAGAGTAATCTTGAGAAAATCGCTTAACTTCCCTCTGCCAGCTGTTAATTGCTATGAGAATGATATGAGTAACATGAAAATGCCTGACCATATATCAGTTACTCAATAACGATTAGATCCTATTCTTCTCTTTACCTTCAACCTATTTAAGTTTTGACAGGAAGAATACCCATTTGAATTCTGAATCCACATCCCAAGTTTTTGTGCTTTATTTTTATTTGTTATGATTTAAAATTCTTTATTGGAATATAGTTGATTTACAATGTTGTGTTTGTCTCAGGTGTACAGCAAAAAAGTCAATTATACATATATCCACTCTTTTTTCGATTTTTTTCCCCATATAGGCCACTGCAGAGCATTGAGTAGATTTCCCTGTGCTATACAGAAGGTCCTGGTTAGTTATCTATTTTATTATTTATTTTTTGGCCATACCTTGAGACATGTGGGATCTTAGTTCCCTGTCCACAGAGCGAACCTGTGCCCTCTTCATTGGAAAGCAGAGTCTTAACTACTGGACCACTAGGGAAGTTCCAGTTATCTATTTTATACAGAGTAGTATGTATGTGTCAATCCCAATCTTCCAGTTTACGCCTCCCCCTCCCTTACGCCCTAGAAATGGTGAATTTGTTTTCTACATCCGTAACTCTATTTCTGTTTTGTAGATAAGTTCATTTGTACCTTTTTTTTAGATTCCATAGGTAAGTGATATGATATTTGTATTTGACTTACTTCATTCAGTATGAAAACCTCAAAGTCCATCCACGTTCCTGCAAATGGCATTAATTTTCTTTTTTAGGGTTAAGTAATATTCCATTGTATGTATGTACCACATCTTCTTTATCCTTTCCTCTGTTGATGGGTATTTAGGTTGCTTTCATGTCCTGGCTGTAGTAAATACTGCTGCAATGAACATTTGGGTGCATGTATCTTTTTCAAATTATGGTTTTCTCCAGATATATGCCCCAAATTTGTGTGCTTTATTCACTGAACTATTCCTTATCTGAAGTACTATTGGGAAGCAGATGAAAATCATACCTAATCAGTATAGCTCCATTTAAAAAAAATTTTTTTTTGGCCGTGCCCAAATGCATGTTGGATTGTAGCTCCCCAACCAGGGAATGAACCTGAACTGCCTGCATTGGGAGCAAGAAGTCTTAACCCCTGGACTGCCAGGGAAGTCCCCATTATTTTATTCAAAGAGAATTCCTGGGTCATCAGTCTCTAGGTGAAGGCAAAATGTCCCGACTTTTGGTATTATTACACTTGTGTCATGTTATCTGTCTCCTCTTTGGTAAAATTGTAAATTACACAAATGCAGAACACATACTGCATACTATTACTGGTAACTATATGCAAAATATAAGTCAAACTCCCAAACCAAATCCAAGTATTTTAACCTTTTGCAGTTTTCTAGACCCTTGTCCCTCCATTAGTTAACCTGTGAGTGTGTACACGTAACTGCTGTTCTTTATCAATAGCATAATGCATGGATTATGGACTTGGACAACCCACAATTGCACGACTTTCCAAAGTCAAAGCGCTGTCTGGTTATTTACTCCCGGCCTAGAGCTTCGGAGTCATGTGGCAAGTGAAACCAAACCAAGCCTCTGCCCACATTCCCGGAACTTCCCCTCACCCCATCCCCTTCCCTACTGTAAGTTTTCTGGCTCTTACTCTCCTTCTCATGCAGCGGAACCAAATCCCTGCCAGACAAATAAATGCTCTGGCTGCACCCTGACAGCCAATTCCCACCAGTTACGGCGGAGCCTGCCTCCAGACGGTAATCCCTTGGGCTCAAGGCACAGCCCCTCTTTAGCTTCCAATCAGACTCAACCGGGGGAAGAGCACCATGGAGTGGGGGAGGGGATGCCTCTGTCAGTCTTCAGTCTTCGGCAGTCCTATGGACACCTCTCCCGTTTTCAGCCCCACCGTAGTCTTCCCGTCTATAAAACTGACGGCTAGAGAACAGGCACCAAGCGTCCTGTGCTCTATTCACAACCATCTCTAGCCTTCTCTGAGGAGCCATCAAACCCTCAGGAAGATCTGCTGTCACTAGGAGAAACTGAGGCAGAAGGGGCCAGGCTGTCTTAAGTCCGGTTTGTGGACGCTCAGCCTCTAAACCCCTGCTCCAGATACTGCTCCTCTATCGTGGCTCTTGGCTGGGTACAACCCACTTCTGTAGTGTAAGGCTGGGGGCGGGGTTTGGCTAGGCAGGTCCAGGATGCAAGATCCTGGAAGAAAGAAAAGGTGTACTGTTTGGGGCCATCAACGAGCTAGGCTGGCTTGGCAGGGCTGAGCTCTTCGAAACAGGTAATACTCAGGGGGGTGCCTGTTGGTCTGGACCAGAGAGATAAGGCCAAAGGCGAGATGGCTGGGGTGACATTTGAGGGGGCTGCGCAGGGGAGAAAGGGGTATAATGGAAAAGGGAGAGGAGCTCAGAAACCGTGGGGTGGGGGAGAGGGGGAGCCCTCATTCTCCTTCTGCAACTGGCCCCTTCCCCCATGCCTCCCAGCAGAACCATGGATTTCAGAACCCCTGACCTGTTGGACGTGTGCCTGGAACCTCCAGAAGATGTCTTCTCAACAGGATCTTTCCTGGAGCTGGGACTCCACGGTCCACCTTCAGAGGTTCCAGTGACTAGGCTACAGGAACAGGGGCTGCAAGGCTGGGAGTGCAGTGGGGGCCATGGCTGTGTGAGTGTGATGAATGGAAATGGCTATGGGTTGAGACAACTCTTGTGATAAGAAGTGCAAGAGGCTTCAGTTTCCACTTAGAAGTCTGAAGACAGAGCCCCTAAAATAGACATGAGCTGTAACTACCCTCATGTCCAAGGACAGAAGGGACTGAAACTGATCTGGTTTTGACATTAATAGGACTTCCAGAATTCTTCCCTATACACATTCACACCCTCTTCTACTGTAGGGTCTTCAAGAGAGTGAGCCTGAAGATTTCCTGAAACTTTTCATTGACCCCAATCAAGTCTACTGCTCAGAAGCATCTCCCGGCAGTGACAGTGGAATCTCTGAGGATCCTGGCCATCCAGACAGTCCCCCTGCCCCCAAGCCACCCAGTTCCCCTGCCCTCTATGAGGTTGTCTATGAGACAGGGACCCTGGAGAGGATGCAGGGGGAAGCCGGGCCTGCTGTAGGGCTCATCTCCATCCAACTAGGTCAGTGTTCTTTGTGGGGAAGGGACACTGGCCCTCCAGGTCCAGTCCTAACCCTGGAGTTAAGGGGGTTTCCCCAACCTATGCCACTACCCAGAGCCTGTGGCCATCCACATCCTTTCTCCCAACCACTTATGTCTCCCTCAGATCAGTGGAGCCCACCATTTATGGTGCCTGAGGCCTGTGTGGTCAGTGAGCTGCCTCCTGATGCTCACGTCCTGCCCACAGCAGCTATTGTAAACTCCGTGCCTCCTGCAGCCCTGGTGAGTCTTGGGGAGTCAACTGGACTCAGTACTCTCTGATACACAAAACTGGGGAAAAGCGGTTGAGGGAGGGGAAAACTGATGCTGAACACTGTCTTTGCCCCAGTTTTTGTGGCATTGGGCCTGAATGCCAGAGAGATGTGAGCAACTATAAGAGCAGGAATGGACAAGAGAGACAGAAGCCCTTGAGGTTAAGGGGGTAATGTTTCGGTTAAGGAGAGGGTGGGGTGAGGGAATCCAAGGATAGGGCTCGGGAGAAAGCCTGGTCCTGTGTGCATTGTCTGCTCAGTTAGGGCCATTGTCTCAGCCTTGAGTCAGGATGTGGAAATGGGATAGGCCACCTGAGAATCCAACTGGTTACTGGGCACAGGGTGTAGAAGCAAGTGCAATTAGTTTTTACTGGAACAACAGTTCAGCAGTCACCCACTGCCCATAGTTATAGCACAGGGGTGTGACACATCACATACCTTCCCAAGGGGAGCTGGGCTGGTTCCTCGCAGTGAGGATGAAGAGGGGGCCTTGCCCAGGTCACTGTTCCTCCCTTTATCTTGAAAAGAACTCTTGTGTGCAAAAGGCAGGGAGTAAGTTCTAGCCTCCCTGCAAATCTGTAATTGAAGCTGAGAACAGAAGCCAAGCCAAGCATCTTAGAATCTTGAGCTGAGGAATCTTAAAAAGCCTGAGGCATCTAAACTTGTGTGTGCATCAAAAACACTAGGGCATTTGTAATGGATTGCCAGGGAAGTCCTGGTTTGGTTTTATTTATTTTTGGTTGTGTTAGGTCTTCATTGCTGTGCAGGCTTTTCTCTAGTTGTGAGGAGTGAGGGCTACTCTCTAGTTGTGGTGAGCAGGTTTCTCATTGTGGTAGCTTCTCTTGTGGGACACAGGTTTGAGGGCATATAGGCTCTTCCCAGATCAGACACTGAACCCACGTCTCCTGCATTAGCAGGCAGATTCTTTACCACTGAGCTACCAGGGAAGCCCTGGTATTGTTCTTAAGATAAAATCTTCTAGGGGAATTCCCTGGCAATCCAGTGGTTAGGACTCAGGGCTTCCACTGCAGGCGGTATGGAATCGATCACTGGTTGGGAACTAAGAGGCTGCAAGCTACATGGCACAGCCAAGAAAATAATAAATAAATACCCTCTAGGCTTCATTTTCAGAGATTTTGATTAGGTGGTTTGGGAGGGACACCCCTCTAATATAGCACCAAACAGTATCAGAAGCAAGACAGGAACATCAGAAAAAGTCAGAGGTAGAGTGGTTTAGCTAAAAAAGTCAAAGATCATCAGAAGGCAAAAAGCAATTTCCTCTTGAGTCACAAAGTGAAGTATCAATCTTTCAAAAAGGAGTATTAGTTAGAAAAGTAAGCTACTCAGTTGATGGGCTCACATTAACCAGATAACATCTACCCTCCCCACATACTCTGTTCAGTCTGGTTGCCTCTGGGGCATTCTTTGAGAGGGAATAGAACTTCAGTCTAAGAAGTAGGGCTCAGACTCCAGGGGAGAATGAGCCAGCACCCCAGGAATCTCCTTGTGGCTGACAGTCAACAGTAATACTGCTGAACTGAAGTTAATGGCTGAAGATGAATCATCTGTCTGCCATAAGATTAAGCAGACTCTACCTTAGTGAGTTACTCCCCCTCCTCTCCAGATACTCCTAAGGTCTGCAGAAACGTGCATCAGAATAGGTCCTCTCTAGCCTGGTCAGACTGCCAAGGGCCTAAGTCTGTGGACAAAAAATACAACAAAACCGCCTCCTCTTTCCCTAGTCAGCCTCAGGGAGTCCCTGTGGCTGAACTGAGACTCTGTCTGAATTAAGGTCCCTGCCCCTCATTTCATTTAATGGTTTGTTATTCCTCAGAGCAAACAGGACACACTCCCCAGGAGGCATGCGAGGGCAACAGTCTTGAGGCTGGGATGACCCTCTCTCCATTCTCATCTTCTCTCACGCCCCAGCAGCTGCCCTGTCAGACCTTGTTCCTGACAGAAGAGGAGAAGCGGCTGCTGGGACAGGAAGGCGTTTCCCTACCCTCTCACCTGCCCCTCACCAAGGTAAGACGCTTCCCAAAGGGCATCCCAGCACTGCGGCCCTGTCAGGGCCTCTGAGGAGCCAGGAGAGCAGGACAAAGTGGAGGGGCTGGGGAGGCTGAGGGCCCAGGACTGACACACCCTGGGCCTCCAGGCAGAGGAGAGGGTTCTCAAGAGGGTCAGAAGGAAAAGCCGTGACAGGCAGTCAGCTCAGGACAGCCGGCGGCGTTTCCCTACCCTCTCACCTGCCCGTCACCAAGGTAACAGGCTTCCCCAAAGGGTATCCCAAATACTGCAGTCCTATCAGGGCCTCTGAGGAGCCGGGGAAGGCTGAGGGCCCAGGACTGACACACCCTGGGCCTCCAGGCAGAGGAGAGGGTTCTCAAGAAGGTCAGAAGGAAAATCCGTAACAAGCAGTCAGCTCAGGACAGCCGGCGGCGGAAAAAAGAGTACATTGATGGCCTAGAGAGCAGGTATGTTTGAATTCACATTTCTTTGCTTCACGCCTGGGCCCCTGTCTTTACCAAGGCTGGTGAGGTCAGGCATGCACATGATTACCAAGCCTTATCCTACCTTTCCGCCCTCCCTAGGGTGGCTGCCTGTGCTGCACAGAACCAGGAACTACAGAAAAAAGTCCAGGAGCTAGAGAGGCACAACATGTGAGTGAAAACAGTCTGCGTGCTGGGGGAAGTGTGCTGCTCACATTCTTGGGCCCTGGTTCCCAAGAGATCTAACTCTTCATTCCTTGTTTCCCAGCTCCCTGGTGACTCAGCTCCGCCAGCTGCAGATGCTTATTGTTCAAACCTCCAACAAAGCTGCCCAGACTAGCACTTGTGTTCTGGTACCACTGATCTATTTCCCATCTCCCCCCTCACCTCCTCCACCTTCTGCCACTTTTCCATCCCTATGCTTACTTCCTGGCCAGACTTATTGTCCCATCTTTGATGACCCCAACTGCCCCCTACTCACTCTGCCCTCTGCTCCCTTCCTTGATGGTCCCCGCAGCCCAAGTGTCCTCTTGCTTCTTCCCAGATCCTTCTTTTTTCCTTGGCTCTCATCATCTTGCCCAGCTTCAGCCCCTTTCAGGGCCTGCCAGAAGCCAGGCCTGAGGATTACCAGCCTCATGGAGGTGAGAGGCAAGGGCAAGAAGGAACTGTTTTCTGGGTAGTGAAGAAGTGGGAAGGAGGCCCTGTCCTCTCTAGGATCCCTGACCAAGGGAGGGAGCATTATTCTACTCCCCTTTTTCCTTCACTCCGCAGTGATTTCCAGAAACATCCTTACTCACTGGGACATGACAGAGAATCCTGAATACGCAGTGGTAGAGTCCAGACTGGAGGGGCCACCTGGGGCCAAAGGTGCAAACAGCTCAACAAGGACACTGCTGGAGAAGGTGGCAGGGAGGGCAGGCCCCAGCAGGCACATCAGAGCTGTGTTGCATGCAGATGAAATGTGAGCTCTAACACTTCCTGGCTCACTTCCCAATCACAATAAGGAATCCAGGGCTCTGCTACTGCTCTGCTTCCTCCTGGGGTTCCCACTCAGGGCTCTCTGGCCTCGGGGGTCCGAATCCCATAGGGATGCCCTTGATGTCTGTACCCCATGGCTTAGTTGGTCTATGTCACGGGGAAGCTCAAATACTTTCATCATGTATCTGTGATTTTATTTCTTTGAGGACAGGGTTAAAGGGAAACTGATGTTTTGGCTAAGAAATAAACTTTTTTTGGTAAAACTATATGCTGACAGTTTTAAGTAAGTAGTGGAAGAGGAGGAAGATAGGTACCTGGTAAACTGGGGCCTAAAATCACTACCCCCTTTCCCTCTCTGTCCCCCCATGATTTCCTGCCCCAAACCAAATTATAGATAGGGAAGGAAATGATTTTACTCTTTTTATTCTGCTCATTAATTATTTAGATGGAGGAGTGAAAGGGGGTGCTACCGCAAGGTTCCAGAGAACCAGGGGCGCAAGTCAGTTTATTCTACCTTCTGTTTGAGGCAGGGTTTCTAAGACCCAGGTGAAAGGAGAGAAAGTAGCTATATGGACTCAATTTGCTTCCGGACCTTTTCCAAAGCCTTTCTGTCCAGTTGTCGCTGACGAACGATGACAAGGCAAGCAAAGACCAAGGCCAGACCTATGACAGTCCCTTCAAATTTCCAGAATAAGCGTTGTTCCATCAGAGCTGAGCGGCAGCTGAGGGCGAGAAGAAACAGTTATCCCCAGAAAACATCAGAGCGCCTCCACTCTGCTTTTTCCTAATGAAGGTGTCTCCATGGCAAAGAGAGGAAGCCAAAGTCAGCCTTCTAATGTGTTTACAGTATATTAATCCCCCTAAAATATTTAATTTTTAGTGAGATAAACAGAGCTGGTACTAACCAATTTTACTGATAAGAAAACATGGGAGTAGAGCTGGGACTTGGGTTCAAGTAATTTGGCTCCAAATCCCCTCCCCTTTCCAATATGCCATGCTACCTCCAGAGGAAAAGGAAGAGGCAGGAGTATTTACCTAAAGTCATAGGAGGAAGTGATCTAGGAGGATTCAAGAAGAGAAACAGCACTTACCTTTTGAACTCACTCCTCTGAGATGAGCTGCATGTTATTTTCTCCACATATCCTGTGGAACCACACTCAGGGGTGGTTTTCTGCCCGGAGGAAAGCATCGCAGCACATGTTAGGAAGGGGCAGCAGGAGAAGCAGGGCACCGTGAGCGGGTGTGCAAGTGCTATGGCTCGGGGCTGGTAGGCAACAGAGAACGGAGGAGTTCTCCTGGGTGGTGACAGGGTGGTGTTTACATGACCAGGAGTGTGTGTCAGTAAGAACCCTTCAGGCTCAACAGCCTAGGAGAGGCAAGGGCAGGTTCTGGAGCCTACTACATTAAAATTGAGCAGACCACGGTTATGAACACTGCCATTAACTTCGAAAGAAACAGGCACAATTTCAGGAGGAAGACAAGTTCAGATTTGGACTTACACTGAGACTTCAAGGAAAGAGATGAAAAGACAACGCAAAGGCACACCTTAGACAATCACATCATCCCAGTCTGATTCAACGTGAGAAAAAAGGGAGAGAAAACAGGTACTCACAGCCTGGAAATTAGAGCATGGAGCACACTCTTCTGCCACCACAAACTCTTCCACCAGCCAGCACGGCAAATTTGAGGTGCTCACTAGAGAGAAAGAGAAATGCAAGCCTCAGACTTCCTTCCGAAAATATTTCTCCCCTAAATTCTGCCCATCAACTTCCCAGCACAGTTGAATGCCCTCGTCCCACGTAGTACCGCCCTTTCCCACCTCATCTCTTGGAATATAGGAGGATGTCAAAACAAAATTATAGGAGAGACGAGTTCCAGACCATCACCCACCTGACAGCTTCTCTTCCCGCACGGGAGCCTCTGCTTGGCTGCAGCGGAGGGGGGAAGGGGCAAGAGTCAGAAGCCAAGAAACAGGGAACCCCGCCCCCTCACCTCCGCGGTCCTGGGACAAGCGGAACGGGGACGATACAATGCGATACAATCCTCTCATCCCCTCCTTTTCCCTGCCCTCAGCCCCTCCTTACCAGAGCCTTAAAGTGAAAGCGCAGAGCAACCAGCAGAGGTGGTGGCCCTGGGGGAGGCCACGCCTCCCCGCGCCCGCAGGCATGGAGTGCTGTGTCGCACCTATCGGGACAGAGGGACCTGCCTCACTGGCCTCGTGCCTCGGTCGGAACGCAGAGTCCGCGCTTACACGGCAGTCCTCCGAAGGGTTCCAACTCAGGGCTGCGAAATGCTGGAGTTGCCTATCAGATTAAAGGCTCTGTCAGTACGCCCCCATGGCCACGGCGAGAAAAGGCAACACGCATTTGTTGGGTAGGACCGTGAGCTTCCTTCTTCGATACGGTCCTGGCGAAAGGCCGAGGAGGCGTACGGCCCTAGCATTCCCTCTGCTCCGCTTCCGCTCCCGGTGCGGCCATGTTGCGCGCGGAGGCTCCTGGGCGCGGGCCCGTTCCCAGAGCTAGGCCAGTGATGGGAGGTGGAGGTCCGCTGCTGGCTTGATGGGCCTCGTAGTCTTCCGCCCGCTGCTCCCTGGGAGTTGGATCTCCCTGCACTCGTGCGGCGCGTTGCGACCCTTTGGCTTGGCCCACCGTTGCATTCTGGTCTTGGTAGTTTTTTTGCGGGAACGGAGAAAATGGCGGCTGTCAGACTTTCGTGCGTTGCTGTAGCTTCCTGGGCTGTCACCTGTTTGCCCCTGTGGGCAACGGCGAGACATGAAAAGGAACGATACTTCGCCCTCTCAGGACTTTCCTCTCTCCTTAAAACCCGAGGACTCACAATTAAGCATCCGATTTTCTGACTCTCCTCCCCATTCCCATTTTGAGCGATGATCAAGGGGAGAAGCTCGGTTGGCGTTCCAGAGATGAAGGCAAAACTGTTACTTTCTCCTCCCTCAAGGGGCAGCAATATCCGAAACTTTGTGAATGTGAAGGCTTCCCCTGTCTCTGGGCTCCCACTCAGTTCTACTCGGATGGGACCTTGTTGTTGTTGTTTAGTCGCTAAGTCGTATCCGACTCTTTGCGACCACATGTAGCCCACCAGGCTACATGTCCATGGGACTGAAAGACGCAAAGGAAATATTCATTAAAATACTTTGTTCTCTTCTATTGCCTCACATTTCTATCATACTTTGAATTTAAGGTTTAGCTCATTTCGATTCTCTTCTGTAATCCTGAGGAGTCAGTTGGTATTGTCCCTGTTTAATGAATAAGCTCAGTCTGTTACTTGTCCAAGATCATACAGCTAGTAGGAGAGCTGAGACCTAAGCCCAGACTTTTAACTCCCAGACCACAGATTTGTGCCTGTTTTCCATCCCGGTGAAGTCAAACCTTGGCAAAATGTGGGTCGGGAAGAATCCCTGGGTCAGGAAGTTCCCCTGGAGAAGGAAATGGCAACCTATGCCAATGTTCTTGCTTGAAGAATTCCATGGACAGAGAAGGCTGGTGGGCTACAGTCCATGGGGTCACAAAGAGTCAGACATGACTGTGCAACTAACACTTTCAAGTAAATCTAGGCCCTATTAATAATCTGTATCTTGCCTCTCAAGATCAAAGAAATTATTCCCATACTTTTTCCTTGTTAATTCTGCTCCAAACTCTCCTCCCTCAAGAAGTCTTTCTAGCCTAAAGGCCACAGTTACTCTCCCCCACAGCCATAAGGGCTAGAGCACTTTTGGAAATTAACATTATGTGTGATGTGGACTCTTATGATGGTCCAATGAATAAGAATCCACCTGCCAATGCAGGGGACATGGGTTCAATCCCTGATCCTGGAAGATCCACATGCCTCAGGGCAACTAATCCCGTGAGCCACAACTATCAAGACCACACTGCAACTACTGAAGCCCAAGCGCTCTAAAGCCTGCATGCTGCAACTGCTGAATCTGTGGGCCTGGACCCTGTGCTCCTCCACAAGAGAAACCACCTCAATGAGAAGCCTGTGCTCCACAACGAAGAGTAGCCTCCATCTGCCACAACTAGAGAAAGCCTGCGCACAACAACGAAGACAGCACAGCCAAAAAAACCAACAGTATATCTGGTGCTATGTCCCGTAAATTCTGTCTTCCCGTCAGACTGAAATCTGACTGCTTACGGACAAGAACTAACAGACTGGAAAGTTCATTGGGTGGGAGATGAGAAACCAACAGCCTGGTGAGGGCTGAGTTTTAATTTTGCTGGTAACTGTTAATTTGTCCCTTTAGGTTACTGTTTGTCTGTGTATTATTTGTCAATAGTTATATGTAATAGAAAGTAGGGGATGGGGTTTTTTCCCCTCAGTATCTTTTAGCTATGGTAAGTTTTGGTCAAAACATAGTATTCTGTTACTCCTTACTCAGTCCCACTAGTTGTACCAAGCAACTGAATAGGGTTCCCTATGCTGAAACTGGATTTTAAAATATCCACTCTGGGGTATGACAAAGAGGCCAGTCAGTCTTCTTCCCGGGACTCACAAAATGCAAGTCTTTTCTCATCTCTTGAGTGAATTAAACTAGCTGGGCTCCAGTACAGAATTCAAACATAAGCCACAGATAATAAGGATTATTACCCCATTGAAGCTTAGATACTTTCATGTACCAAATAATTTTCTGAGTCCTTCTCTTGGCACTGTCATACTCTTTTTTTCTGAGTCTTGTCTTTTACCAGCAGAAACAGCAGCACACAAAAAGACTTTGCTGATGACTCCAGGGTTGTGCTATCCACTTCTACACCGTAGGCTTGGGGATGTTTTAAATGCCTTGAACATCGATCATATCTTTGAGTAAAACTTATAGTGATACTTTTGTCTAAACCAAATCTGACATTTTCATCATCTTGGTAAAAGATCAAGTCTGTGAGATAATTTTGCTGTTTAAAAAAATACTGTGAATTCATTGCAGCACTATTTACAATAGCTAGAACATGGAAGCAACCTAGATGTCCATGGACAGATGAATGGATAAAGAAGCTGTGGTACATATATACAATGGAATATTACTTAGTCATAAAAGGAACACTTTTGAGTCAGTTCTATGAGGTGGATGAACCTAGAGCCTATTGTACAGAGTGAAGTAAGTCAGAAAGATAAAAATACCATATACTAACACATATATATGGAATCTAGAAAGACGGTACTGATGAAATTATTTGCAGGGCAGCAATAGACACAGACATAGGAAACAGACATATAGACACAGTGGGGTGGGGGCGGGGGGTAGTACAGGGAGGAAGGTAGGAAAGAGAGGGTGGGATATATGGAGAGAGTAACATGGAAACTTACATTACCATATGTAAAATAGACAGCCAACGGGAATTTGCTGTATGGCTCAGGGATCTCAGACTGGGGCTCTGTAACAACCTAGAGGGGTGGGATGGGGAGGGAGATGGGAGGGTGGTTCAAGAGGGAGGGGACACATGTATACCTATGGCTGATTCATGCTGATGTTTGGCAGAAACCAACACAATTCTGTAAAGCAATTATCCTTCAATTAAAAAATTAATTAAAAAATAAAATAAAAAATTAATTTAAATTTTAAAAAGAAACTGCAAGTTTACTAATCAAACAGATGCAAATCAAAACATGTCTTTTCTTTTTCAAAGATTTAAAATATTTTAAAAAATGGTGCTGGCAAGAGCATATTTATATAATGTTGGTATAAGCATAAATTTATGGAGCATATTTAGGGGACTATAGAAATACTAATTCTACAAAACCATCTAATTATAAAATCTATTTGTTCAATTTTTTTTCTGAACAAGCATTTGTACAGTGCAAATGCTATTTAGAAGACAATATTTCTTAAAAATATTGGAAACTAAAAAAAATACTGTGAAGAACAAATAGGGTCTATGTATACTTAAGGGAACTCAAGCCTCAGTTTTTTGTTCATGTCAGTAGTTTTGCTTCTTTGTTATTCAGTTGTTAGAGGCTGTTTGTGTTAAATTTTACTTGTCCCTCTTCCTTTAAGTACCACCCAGAGGTTATTTTAACTTGACCACTGTGCTTGGCACAGAGTAGATGCTCAATAAATATTTATGACTAAATGAATCCTTTTTCTGTCTCATTTTCTTCTCCTATCAGAGCAGGTAATAATGCTTACCACTTACTTAAAGGGATTTTTGGCAGAATCAAAGATGCTTGCAGAAATCACTGAATAAAAAAATACTGGTTCTCCTGTTTCTCTGAGGCTCGGGCTATCACTCTCCTGGGGAGGCCCAGGAAAGAGTCCTTGTCTTAGAATTTCCTGGACAAGACTCTGCCTGCCAGGGTCCTCTAAATCCCATATTGGAAAGAGGATGTACAGACTTTCAGAGAATCTCTGCTCCTTGTCTTCCTCATCAATTAAACAGCTGGGAAGGTCTGAGACCTACAGACTAGGTAGCACAGGAACCCAGCCAGGTTCAGGCAGATGAACCAGCTCAGAGAGACAAGAATTAGGTTTACGAGTAGAGTGATTCTGACAATGACAAGAGTTACCCAGACCAGGAACATTTGTGCAAATGGTGGCCTTTAATACTGAGAAAGACCATGCAGAGTGACAGCATAGGACCAAACCTTCAGAGGGTGGTACTGAGCCAGCCTCTCTCAGGACCCTAAAGCTTGATCCCATAACAGAATAAATCAACTATTTATTTACATTTATATTTGCCCTGGAAACCCAGAGGTCTGAGGCCTAGGACCATCCATCTTCCTTTCCTCCTCCCTCTCTTCCTACTTCCTTCTCACCTTCTTCCACTTTCCCAATTCTTTTCCTTTTTCTTGCTTCTCCTTCCCGCTCTATCCTGCTTCCTTTCTTTTCCTCTTTCCTTCTCTCTCCTTCTTTTTTTTCTTCTCCATATTCTCCCCATTCTTCTACCATCTACCCATCTCTACCCCTCCAAGCCCCATTTGCTATTTCTCCCCTGCCCAGCCCCTCAGCCCTGCCTTCCTCAGATTCAGTCTCCAGGCTTAGGGTGGAGAGGCAGAAAGGAGTCGTCAGCCCAAGGAGCACTTGTTGGTATTCTTCTTGTCACAAGTTTTCAGGTCAGTGCTGGGGGGCTTGTTGTTGTTTTTCTAGAGGGAGAAGGTACAGGGCTCAGGGTGAGAATGGCTAGCTGGGGCCATTAACTAAAGGAGATCCACCCTCACAGGCAGTATTAGCATTGTTCCCCTCATCAGTTTTTACCCCCACCACACATGCACTCTCACACACCCAGCTGTACTTAGCCCAGCACAACCAACTCACCAATCTCCGGCCTCCTGACTTGAGTAAGATGTCCCGTGCCAGGGAACAGAAAGCCTAATAGGGAAAGGTGAGATTGGTCAGGATAGGTTGAAGGGGAGCTTATGTCTGTCTTCCAGGGCTCTTTGGGGGGTGAAGGATGGGGTGTGTCTCACCTCGTCTACATTCATACTGGATTTAGCACTTGTCTCAAAAAATCGGATTCCATGCTCCCGAGCCAACTGCATGGGAAGAAGTGGTAAGAAGAGAGTTGGACAAAGGGCAGCGGCCAAGTCCTCTGCGATCTAGCCTTACCTGGGTCCTCCTGGCCCAGTTCTGGAACATTGCCCAACCAGCTCTTACCTTATCAGCCTGCTCCTTCTGCACCTTCCTCTTGGCCTCCATGTCACACTTGTTCCCCAGTAAGAGGCGCTCTACCCCAGCCGAGGCATTCTGGGAACAAAGATAAGAGTAGAAGCTGGGTCCTGCTCATTTTCATAGGCTCCTTCATCCTCCAGGTTCTACCCAATTCCCCCACCTCTCTGGAACTGTCCTCACCTCTTTGATGCTCTTCATCCAGTTCTGAATATTCTCGAAGGATTTCTCATCTGTGATATCATATACTAGGATAATGCCCTGGGGAATGGCAGAGTTCACAATGGAGCCTTGTACCATATGCCCCTCTTCAGGCTTCCCCCTGCCCTCTAAATGACCTTGTAAATTCTATCCACAAGATTAATCACCAGGCCACATGGGGCCCTCTGCAACCCACACTGTGCCCCTCCCCATTTTTCTCTGCCCCAACTCCTGTCCCTCTGTAGTCGTACATTCTATTGCATCATCCCTTGTCCAGAAATATGCTTCATACCATGGCTCCACGGTAATAGGCAGTAGTTATTGTCTTGAATCGCTCTTGGCCAGCTGTGTCCCTGAAGGGGTAGAATATTTCATGGGGTGAGATAGAGGGAAGAGGTCTCCAAAGAGAGAATTCCACTCCCATCCCCTAAGAATTTAGCTTTTGCAACAAGGAATGTTGAACAGAATCAGGAAAACGATAAAGGGAAAAAGGGATAAGAGACTGTTGGGCTGATATCGAGCAAAGGTAACGGCTGAAGAGACAGATCTGTTTTATTGTTTACTCTGTGCCAAGCACTGTGTAGACGTCATTTTATTTATGTCATTTTACCTAATCTTCACTCTATCCTTGTGAGACATACTTTACTGCCTCTATTTTACAAATGAGGAAACATTTAGAGAGGAGAAATAACTAATGAAGGTCATTCTGTAACAGAACAGGATTGAACCACAGTCTCCTCTTGTCTATTGTATCATAATGCCTCCATTAAGCCTCTTACCACTTGACACCCTCAGGGTCTCCAGTTTCCTCAGGAGAGTCAGGTCAAATCTCTCCTCTTGGCTTTATGGGCCCTCCACTGGATAGAGTCAAGTTTTAATTTTGCTACTTGCTATTTAACTGTTGAGAGCTTGTTTCCACATTATAGCTCAACAGACAGTTGAGCTAACTAGACAGTTGCCAAGTTCAGAGGAGTCTCTGGGTCCAGGACAGGCAACAGAATTACAAAAAAGTTGAAAATAGTTGAGTGAGCAGGAAGAGAGATTTTTTGAAGTCCTGGGGGATTCACTCACCAGACTTGCAGTTTGATCTTTTTCCCCTCTATATCCACAGTGCGAATCTTGAAATCAATTCCTAGGGGTGGAGAGGGTACACTGAAATAAAGACATGTATGTATGTGTACGTGCAAGTGTGTGGTGAGAGGGACAGGAATGGAGCAGTGCAGAAATTCTGCAGGGAAGGCACTTGGGAAGCAGTCTTGCAGGAAGTATAAAACTACGGGGATTTTCTCAAAGCTGTATTTGTGCAGCAAGCGTATTGTTTTTACTTAGCTCTTACAGACTTTGTGGGAAAGAAGATGATGAAAACTCTGCAAGGAGGCTGAAGGCCTTTACGGCACCTCTTGGGTCCACTCAGCCATGACAGCTGACAACTCTCTCAATTCAGTCTCCCCCAAAATATTACTTTCTCATTTCTTCTCTCTTCTGTTTTCTTAGAACCCTCTACCCTCCATTATCCCATGTAGCCTCCTGACCCTACAGGGTGAAGAGCAAGGAAAAAAGAAACTGATACCAGTCCATGTGAATTAATAGTATGCCAGGCTTGGAAACAAGAAAATTTGAGTCTAAACAAGATTCCTCTGAGACTGAAATATGGGAGAGGGATATTTTCCCCTCCACTTTCTAACCAGAATTGTCTTGAGACTCTCCTGGTCTTACTACCCAGGCCAGAGGAGGTTAAGAATGATGAGGGGGAGGAGAGGAGACAATGTTCTTAGTGGAAACTTGTGTACCTCCCCCAAACCAGTGAGGAGCTCCAGGGAGGAGGCTGAGTCACCAGGCTGACTCAGAGACCCCGAAAGTCCCCTCAGTCCCACCTTCCTTACCAGGCTGACTGCATATTCATGATCCCAGTCCTTGGGCCACTCTCTAGCACACCCAGCCCCTCTGTGCCACCCTCCCCAACCACCTAATAAGTTGAGGGGCAGAGAGACTGGAAAGTAGATGGTAAGGTGGGAATGCAGTGGGAGAGTTTGTAACTCAGTTGGGACAGAAAGAGGCTGGCAAAATTGGGAGACAGATGATCAGGGAAAAGGGGATACAGGAAATGTGGAGAACGGATCAAGAGTTCTAGATGGATGAGGGTGGGGGAAGAGGAGCTGAGAGGGAAACAGACACGGGTTCATGTGGATTTGTGGAGACAAGGGAGACAGGTGGTACCAAGAAAATAAGGGGCTGGCACAGGCACAACTGAGGAGTAATCTGGAGGTCTCAGAGAGGTTAGAGGTTTGGGTACCATCCTGAGATATATAAGGGGGATGGGTCTGAGAGAGAGTTGAGGGACTGGAGTCCAGAAGCCTGACTCTAAAGCAGGCCACTAGTAATCCAAGAGTCTAGGAATGAGGGTATAGGGTAGTTGAGGATCCAGGGTATGGCCAGTGGGCTCACCGATGGTGGAGATGTAAGTGTTGTTGAAGTTGTCCTCTGCAAAGCGAATGATCAGACAAGTCTTGCCCACCCCTGAGTCCCCGATCAGCAGCAACTTGAAGAGGTGGTCGTAGGCTTTGGCCATGGCGGACACTGGGGGTGCCGGGAGAGGGGTAGGGAAGCGGAGGGCACCGGTAGGCGGGACTGGAGGGTTGGCAAAGGGAGCGGGCCGGAGCCCTGGCCAGGAAGTTTTCCTCCCTCTCCGCCCAGGCTCTGGGAAAGAGGAGAGGCGGCACTCCTCCGGGCCCCACCCCGTGCCCGCCCATCTCTTTCTGCTGGCCTCCTCGGCCAGCCCAGCCTCCTGCTCTCTGGGCTTTCCCTTCCCAGCCAATGCTGGCCTGTCTCCCTAACCATTTTGCAGTTTTTTGCTTACTCTCATCCCCTCTTTTGACTTCGCTCTTCCAGTCAGAAGTCAGAGAGGCTGGGGTGAAGTGGAGATTTAATCACAATGACCAGGGGAAGAGGAGTTTTAGAGAAATTCGGGGAAAAGGAAAGTTTGGGGGAATAAGGGTGAAGGCCAGGATAACACAGGAGTTGGCAAAAATTGGGGACTGATTTTTGAAAGGGGCACTCGAGAAAAATAGAATACTTCTGGGGCAGTTCTAGAATTCTGGTGGTACTGTTCCAAGCCCTTAGTTTTAGAATTCCAACTCCTTTTGAAAAAAGCGGGATGGCTGGAGTTGGTGGCTATTTGTTGAGTCAGTCTGCCCCCTGCTGGAACAGAGTGTAAATTAAAATTAATTATACTATACAATCAGCTCCAAAATTAATTATACTATAGAAACAGTTCCACACACTCCCTCTCCGTCTCCAAGCCCTAACCCTAACCCTAACCCTAGATACATTCTGGAGCTTCACCTTGAACCATATTCCTTCTGGGAACCTGTGTATGAATTCTCTGACAGACCAGCTCAGGAAGATAGAGATTGAGACTACAAATGTCTGGTGTCATTCTCTTGATGAGATGTGGATCTTTTAACACAGTCCGGACGCAGTACTCCTAACACACTAATGAACAGACTGTGAATGTGTAGCCTTGGCAACCAGAAAGCTGAAATATGGAGAACATGGCTACACAAAACCAACTTTATCTTTGCTTTGAAAAAAATATTCAAAATATTTGCTTTTCTAATAGCAGGTCAGTAGAATAGTCCTTCTATAAACATAGTGTACTGGTTATGAAAAGGTATCTTTGGTCACTTCAGTTATCCTTGTCATAATATGTGCCAGTGTTTGTCCCTCTCAAACACAACTTATTCAATCCTCTTTTATCCTTTATCTCACCACCCATTATGTCTTCAAGTTGTATTACAAAACCTGAGTATTCGCTACTTCTCCCTGCTGGTCAAACCATCTCTCACTAGTGCTTTAAATTATTCAGTTTTCATGGATTTGTCTGATAAAAACCTATTGGTTCTTTTTCATTTCATCTTATTTTGTCTGAATCTGGACTTTTCATCCCAGCAACAGACTATTCTTTTTCACCTCTCTAAATTGCTGTTGTTTAGTTGCTAAGTTGTGTCTGATTTTTTTTTTCCATGTCTGACTCTTGCGACCCCATGGACTGTAGCCCGACAGGCTCCTCTGTCCATGGGATTTTCCAGGCAATAATGGGAAGAGTGGGTTGCCATTTCCTTCTCCAGGGGATCTTCCTGACTCAGGGATTGAACCGATGTCACTTACGCTGTTGGATACCTGCTTTCACTGGAACCTCATCTCCACAGTACTCTCCCACTAGCTCTCAGAGCTTCTGCAATAATGCCTTTGCCCCCCTCAATTATGGTAGGCTCTTCCTGGTCTCTGGTTTTGTATTCACAAACTCTTGCCTAGAATGCTGTTCTCCCAGATTGCTGCTTGTTTAATTTCTTGTCTTTCGGTGTGCGCGTGCTCAGTCTCTCAGTTGTGTCCCACTCTTTTCGTAGCCTGCCAGGCTCATCTGTCCATGGGATTTCCCAGGCAAGAATGTCAGAGTGAGTTGCCATTTCCTCTTCCGGGATATCTTTCCAACACAGGGATCAAAACTGCATCTAGTGCATTGGCAGCTGGATCCTTTTCCACTGAGCCACCTGGGAACATGTCACTTCCTCAGAGGCTTTTCTCACCCATCAGTAGTGTGCCAAATCATACAGAAGGCTAAGGGATGAAGAACTGATGCTTCCCCCCCCCCCCCCCCNCCCCCCCGTTATTTTTATTAGTTGGAGGCTAATTATTTTACAATATTGTAGTGGTTGCCATACATTGACATGAATCAGCCATGGATTTACAACTGATTTACATGAATCAGTTCCCCATCCTGAACTCCCCGAATTGATGCTTTTGAACTGTGGTGCTGGAGAAGACTCTTGAGAGTTGTCCCTTGGACAACAAGATCAGACCAGTCAATCCTAAAAGAAATCAACCCTTAATATTCATTGGAAGGACTGATGCTGAAGCTCCAATACTTCGGCCACCTGATGCAAACGGTGGACTCATTAGAAAAGACCCTGATGCTGGGAAAGACTGAAGGCAGGAGGAGAAGGTGGGGGGGGGGGGGGCGGCGGCCAACAGAGGATGAAATGGTTGGATAGCATCACTGACTCAATGGACATGAATTTGAGCAAACTCTAAGAGATAGTGAAGGACAGGGAAGCCTGGCCTGCTGCAGTCCATGGGGTTGCAAAGAGCCAGCCATGACTGAGCAACTGAACAACAACAGTAGTGTGCTGGAACCAATTATTACTGGCTCATGAAAACAAATCGTGCTTTCCAAATCCGTGTTTAATGATGTAACATTGGTAGTCTGAAACTGGCCAAGCTGCGAGTATTTTCTCCATTGAAATTAGCGAGGACAACAAATCAGGGCTCCCCTCCATAAAGTCAATGGTTAAACGTTTGCCAGCGTATCCTTGATAAGAACTCCATCCCTTGTCCCATTCTATTCCTTTGGAATTAACCAGGTCCCCATATACCATTTGAGTCATCTTTGTTCCTCCTTTATGACAAACGGACATTTTAACCCTTTGATTGTTACTGTAGAAGATAATGATTTGGTCTTTTTTTTCCTTTTCATTCCCTGCCCAGAGTGTCAGTGCTGCCAAGATTAGAAATCTTGGAAAGGCACTTCTGATGAAAATGTGGCGGAAAGGATGCGGGAATGTAAAGACACAGTTGTGAAGATTAACATTAAAAGCAGTCCGAACAATACAGAAGTGACTATTACTGAACTGTTAAAAATGGGCAAACTAAACCAATGGAAAAATAGTAAAGAAAAAAAAAGAAAAATAGTAAAGAAATTTAACAAGTCACAGATATATGACTGAGTCTGTTTTCCTAACCAGTTCCTGTTGTTAAAGTGTAGCGCGAATTTTAAAAAATGTTTATTTACCCCTTGATGGGGACCAGACACTGACCTTAAGATACCAAGCTTAACATGGCGACTCATCTGAGTCCTGTCATTTAGAGACCTTCCCAAAATGGCAGCCCCCACGTCGCCCCAAGGCCCAAGACCATGAGTGAAGGACCTTCTCAACATGGCGGCGATAGGCCCTAACGTCATTTCCTGCGGGACGGCGAATTTAAGGATCAGGATTTCCGCTTCCGCCCCTTTCCGGCGGTGACGACCTCCTCACGAGAACATGCCTGTGAGTTCCTTCGGCTAGGTTTCCGTGGAGATCTCGTTCTTCAGTCTGCACGCTCCTCTCACGCTGATTTGGGATCACAGAAGGCCCTCATTTGCCCTCCGCACTTCCCAGAACAAGTAACTACAGGGGCCGCAGAGGCCAGCTGGGACCCGTGCATGGACGGGAGCGGAGAGGCAATAAGATGGCGGCCCAGCTGCGCAGACACCAGGGGCGACAAGGGGCGAGCTCTCCCCGTTATGTGGCAGTGTGGGCTGTTTGCGATCACCCATGTTCACCATTGGTTTCTAAATCTCTACATTTCTGCCTGTTAGCTCGCAAAGGATCTTCTTCATCCCTCTCCAGAAGAGGAGAAGAGGAAACACAAGAAGAAGCGCCTGGTGCAGAGCCCCAATTCCTATTTCATGGATGTAAAATGCCCAGGTGAGGAGATAACATGTAGTGGGGAAAGCACTGAATCCCACGAGTTGAAAAAAGGTATCCGTGAAGCCCTAATGTATTCAAACTTGAATGTTAGAGATGAGTAAAATTTTGCATTTTAGGAGGAGTGATCCAGAGAGATTCCCCTTCAAAACTCTGTGTAGACCACAACCTTTGTGTTGGGAAACACTGTAATGATAATGTTGGGCTTCTGTGGTAATTTATGTACTTAATTCCTGGCGGCAAAGGGGTAGATACGTTGACCAGTTACTGAGCATCTCTCCTCACCAAGTACAGGATTTTTTCTCTTTGACTTTTGAATAGTTTTTTGGATGATTTGGGGCACATGGTCGAGGTTGCTTTTGAGTTGACTTTGATGTATACCTGGAGCTCCAAGTTTAGATTAGGGAAGTAAATTCCAAGAATTTTCATAGCATACTTGTTTTACAGTTAATGCACGGCAGCATATGTTTAAGTAAAGAAAGGTTTAGGGAGAAAAGGGTAACTCCTTGATGTTTCCCCCCAGGATGCTATAAAATCACCACCGTCTTTAGCCATGCACAAACAGTAGTTTTGTGTGTTGGCTGCTCTACTGTCCTCTGCCAGCCTACAGGAGGAAAAGCAAGGCTTACAGAAGG